TTCAATAAAGTCACCTGACAGTGAATGCTCACAATTCATGCACAAGACAGGACACAACCACTGTTGAGACCAGAAGAGTACTTTGAAAAGAAGTCTCTAGAGTTGTTAAGACACACCCCTGACAAATTTTCTAGGAGTTTTTTAGGTGAAGAAGGTAGAAATCAGTCGCTGGAATTTTGGACACAAAATTCCTTTGGACCTTTGGAGGCACCTGTACTCAGGTGGCAGTACTGCAAGTGATACATCTCTGTCTTTCTAAAAAATTAAATATATATTTCCCTGTAAAAGTTTGCTGCACTGGCTGATTCAGGCGGCTGTGATAACTGTTTCTGGGGCTCTTAGCAGCAGAAGAGGAGAAACTCAGGAAATTGTTAAGACCAAACCAGTTACTGTAGCACATTGTACATATTAGGGAACAAGAGGCTGGAAAGAGGCCCTGTGGAAAGAGATCTTGGCTTGGGTGGATGGCAAGTGTAATATGAAACAGTAGTGTGCCTTGGCAACAAAAAGGGCCAGCCATTCCCTGTGGTGTGTCAGGCACAGCATCACCAGCTGATGGTCAAGGGAGATGATCGTCCCACTCTGCTCTGCACTGATGCGGCCTCACCTCAAGAGCTGTGTGCAGTTGTGGGTACAACAAAGCTATTACAGTGTGTCCAGGGGAGAGTTAGAAGATGGTGAAAGGACTTGAGGGTAAGATTTACAAGGAAAGACTGAGATCATTTGGTTTGTTCAGCTTGGAGAAGACTGAGCAGTGCCCTCTTTGCTTTTTCAAGCAGGATAGTGGAGGGGGAGGCGCTGATCTCCCTCTCTGGTGACCAATGACTAGGACACAAGGAAATGAATGCAATGAAGCTGCATCAGGAGTTCAGATTGGACATTAGGAAAAAGGTTCTTCACTGAGAGGGTGGTTGGTCACTGGAACAGGCTCTGCTGGGAAGTGGTCATGATATCAAACTGACAGAGTTCGAGGAGTGTCTGGACAATACTTGCAGACATATGGTTTAGTTTTAGGAAGCCCTGTGAAAGGAAGAGAGTTGGGCTCAATGATTCTTATTCATCCCTTACAAGTTATGATATTCTATAATTCTATGATTTTAGGTGAGTATCAGCAGGCTCCAGTCAGGGAACTCAGAGAAAGGAGGAAAGAGAGAAAGGGAGGTACACTTGTGCATCCCCCTGTGAAACTGCAGCCAAGGTGAAAAGACAAATTTCAACCTGGGCATTTGGCATGGATCTTGCTGAAAGTGTGTCAAACCTGAATGTGAGGTAATTAAAGATCCTATGCAATATTAGCTTACTTTGCTGAGGGAATAAAGTTACAAAATTTCACTGTGATAAAACTAGGGACTTAGCTTTATCAATAAATACCTAACTTTCCTTTAACTATGGTGTACCTGAGGTCACTGAAAATCAAATGTATTCTCTGCAAAGCCAGCAACATTATTTCTTTGTATGATAATGTGTACAGAAATTGATTTGCCTTAAGAGTGGCAGACTGATCAGCCATCTAACCTCAGAACAGATCTTTGAGTTTTTTCATTATTATTTAATACTTTAATATTTTAAAAAGATACATCATCTTGTCTGAAATGTCCTAAAAATGTTTTCAGTGGCTGTATTTACTCAGATAATCTATAGAACAACTTTTACTTCCCCTTGCAGTATGGTTGGCAGTATTATGTATGTAATTCCTCCAAGAGTACCACATAAAGTTGTTTCAAATAAAAATAAAACATAGTTTAAAAAGTAATTTTAATTATTTATCAATATAATTAAGCTGTATTAATGATCTTTATTATCCGTATTAAAAATTCACAAGATTTTAATCCCTTTCATCTTTATTAGATATGTCATAACTTGTTACATATTTTCATGAACTATTGATGAATATGAAATGCTTAAAAGCACTTTTCCCCTTTTAGTTATAATGACTATATGGGGAGTATATTAATATTTGAACAAGCAGTTATATTTGCTAGTTAGTATAATTTCTAGTACTTTTTCTTGGTATGCAGTACAAAGGCAACATTCTTAATACATAAAGCCTGCAACTACTGACAGATGAAAAAAAATCTTTTCTGTACTATGCAGCATAATTACCTATGCCTCCTTATCTCATGAAAGTAATAGTATTTTGACAACACAAATTGAACAGAAGGCATTGAACACATTGGTAAATATTATGATGAAACAGGTAGAAGCTTCAGTGTCAGAGACAAGTTCATGGGGAAGTTGACTTTTTGTATGAAAAAACTTAGTGATCTTCTCTCCTAAGTTACAGTATTTGCTCCTTTAACTTTTGGAGAGGTAATTACTTACTTGCAATAGAAAGATGACAGCATAAAAATAAAGTAGGATACATCCATACTTAAGAAAGACTAGTGGGAGAAGTCTGGAACACAGGCCAACCTGGGTAAAGTTTTTATTTTAGCTGGTATTATTTTATGGGATTTTTTTTACTTCTTTATCTCTTCTTATTTTATAACCTGTATTTTGAGAAAGTGTTTTTAGGTCATCTTCTAATACATTTGACATCGAGCGTACCAAGAACTTAAATAATTTATGCTCCCTTATGCTGATCAGGGCATAGAACTAGGAGGACTTACCTTCCTAAATTGTTTAACTACTTTGAGAAAACCTATCCTTTAACTGCCTAAATGAGAAGTGTGAATGTAGACTATTCTTAAGTGTTAACATTTCGACCTAGACACTTCAAAAAAAAAAAAAAGAAAATGTTTAGAAAGTGGAAGTAATTACAGCTCATTAGTACTAAGGCAATTTTGGTTTTAAGTTACAAGGACATTATAAAACTAAGAGAAAAGAATACAATAAAACTAGAACTGGAGCACTCAGACAACAATATTCTTTGCCTAGCTCAAATTTATTTTCACATCAGTTAACTGGTTTAGAGGTAGATCCTGAATTATTTCTTTGCCTCTAGATGTGTCACAAAATTCAGAAGCGATATCCTTACATTTGTTTCATTAAAATCTGCATTCATAATTTCTTCATTAAACACAGTAATGAAAAGCAGCAATGGAAAAGGTTTTGAAGTTATTTTTATAAAAACTTATACTTATTGGAATTTAAATAAATAATTTTAACAATGAATTAAGTCTCTTTGACCTGAAATATTCCATACTGGTGTAGGGAAAGGTAGGCAAAAATAAGGCATGAATAAATTGGAAAATTTTATCAGTGAGAAATTGGGAGTGTATTCTAAAGTTGTTTGGTATTGACCTTATACCTTAAAGCAGTTCTATAACTTGATTTAAAGACCATCATGCTTTGCTCAGTTAGTACTCTTCCAATATGGTTTAAAGCAGTCAGGAATAGCTGCTGGTTTTAACTCTAGAATTACTTAAATAATAAAAGAACAGTTTGAGCTATTTGTTTTGCTCTTAGAAAAATATCTCAGGGAAAAATTAATTAATGCCAAAAAAAACCCCCCAAAAAACAAAAAAAGGAACAAGAAAAAAATAGTTACTAGACAAAAGTTATGTTAGAAAGTGGACAGTAACATCATTCAGAAACTCAGGGAGGACAGACAGAAATGGAATCTATTCCTCCAGAGTAGCAATAGCTGTCTTAGTTTTTCCTCTTTCTTTCAGGTTCCTGCCTTACTATTCCAAATTCGGAGAATAGTCTCTTTCATTGCTTAGATGTGATTTCTCTGCTGATCCATTCCACTGTGCAATAAACAATGCAGAGATCTTGAGGAAAAATAGCAAATCATAATATAATTAAAGTTGGTGTTGTAAGCCATAGGCAAAAGGCTGCGCAGAAAACATTACTATTCAGATATTTTTGAAGAATAAGTAGAAATTCTTTAGAGGAAGGGTGCTGAGGCACTGACACAGGTTGCTCAGAGAAGCCGTGGATTCACCATCCCTGGCGGTATTCAGGATCAGCTGGATGGGGCTTTTAGCAACCTGAAAGGTGTCTCTGTATATGGCAGAGGGCTGGAACTAGATAACCTTTAAGGTCCCTTCCAAACTAAGCCATTCTATGATTCTATGATTATATGACTTATTTTGCCAATTGAAAGATTTCTCAGGCCAGAGAAAACCAATAACTAAATACACTCTTTAGTCCACTATTCCAAAACACAGTAAGTATTGTTCAAAGTAAAACTCATTCTTGGGAAAAATATGACAGATTATAACGTGCTCTTTGTGTTCACAAAGAAAAGATGCTGCTGCAAGTATTTTATTCAAAAAATGAAATAGAGTGGGTACAGCTCCCAGAAGACAGCATTTGGGAGAAGAAAATACTTAAAGCATCAAAATCAAAAGTACATCAAAAGGCAAACGGCAAGCTATTTGTCACGGCAGCCCATCAGTAACCTAATTGCATGACAGAGTCATCCAGAGGAAACCTGAAAGATGCTTACAGAAGTGCCTAATGAAAGTCTTTAGGGAGATGGATGCCACTTTTGGAAAAACAGACTTTATGGCTGGAAATTGGACTTGCTGTGATTGTTGTCCAGAGATAAGAGGCCTGAAAATGTGGTTGGGTGTTGAACGAACAGAATCCAATTTCTTCAGTAGCGGCAGCAATTTAATAATATGTTGACTGGGAGGACATGATGGTAATAAAAAGCCTCCCAGAGTCTTTTGGAGAAAGAATCATAAAAGGAATTTACTGAGTCATTTAATTTTTGAGAGTACCATCTAGAACTTTTTGCCTATTTTTATGAATACAACGAAAACAGTGCATGCAGTCTGTAAAGGGCTTTAGAACACTCTAACTTAAAGGCATAAATGCATTATTACCATGGAATTATATTTGTTCTATAAAATTATCTTGCCTTACACATTTGGTTATCTTCAAAATTGTTTTGGTTTTGTTTACATTACACATACAATTATTTTAAATGCTTTTCAATTAAATACAGTCAGTTACTTCATGGTCTCATCTTTATCATAAACATTTTTCCCAACATTTGAATTCTCAGAATTCTTGGCTGGATGATGAATCCGTGTTTGGAAGTTCTTAGTCATCATGGCTGGGTTTCGTGAACGAAGATTTAGGAAGGCTCTATCCACATTTGTTACAAGCACGCTGGTGGCTAATGAGGCCAACACAAGATAGACATATCTGATTGCAAAAGGCACAGCAGAAAGACTCCTTTGGTGGTATATTCTGCAGGACACGATTCTTTCTGCGTTGTCTTCTCTCCTTGAGAGTGATCCTGTGTGTGTTCTCAAAGGAAGCAGCAGCATTATAGATGGTGTGTCTCCAGGTCTCCCGTTTGGAGGCCAGAGTAGACCAGTTATGGTGATCAATATGGCCAAGGCTGAGATGTTGTTTCAGGGAGTCCTTGTATCTTTTCTTCGGGGCTCCTCTCATGCGGCAGCCGGTGGCAAGTTCACCATAAAGCAAGATCTTAGGGAGGCAGTGGTCCTTCATCCTGGAGATGTGCCCTGCCCAACGCAGCTGTGTTCTCAGCAACATGGCCTCAATACTTGTGACTGCTGCTTGTTTTAGAACAGATGTATTAGTCACATAATCTGACCAGTGGATGTTTAGGATTGTACAGAGACAGCATTGATGGAAGCGTTCTAGGAGACACAGTTGGTGGCAGTAGATGACCCATGATTCAGATTCGTATAAGAGAGGAAGTTCTTAGTATAGTTTTTTTAAACACAGTGAATACCGTAAGAAATTATATGTGAAGATGTGTCCCTGACTGTTCATTAGAGCACTGGAAAGGCATGGGAAGTCAATGTTAGAAAATTTCATTTGCACTGTAGTTTACTAATTACACCTTACAAAAAAAAAAAACAACTCACAAGGCATTGGATAGGCAGGGGTTTTTCTTCCTCTTTTTTATAGCACAGGAATTAAGGAAAACGTTATGATGAGGTAGATTCACTGGAATGAGTTAATGCAAAATCTGACTCCTTATGCAGCCTTCAAAGGCCTGAAAAAAACAGTTATATGTGGCTGTAAACTGAAATGAGAAAGGAGGATACCATGGGATCACTGACTATATTTGTACAGAAGAAGGCTAGTCTGCAAGCTGCACACATGTTAACCATCAACCCCCAAAGTGTACGTGACAAGATGTAGACAGTCGCTGCTAACTCCTAGAGGCTGTCTCTCATTGCATCACAATTTGTTTTTGCCTTTTGTGTAGGATCTCCCACTACAACTCTTTCAACTCTTTTGCATGGAGGGTAAAAGTATTGTCCTGAATCTGTGATCAGAAAAAGAGATGTGGATTCTTTCTACTCTTGTAAGAGGAACTTAAGCCTGTCACCAAGAATTTATCTGAAATCTAGTTCACCCAACTCATATGCAGCAGTATAAATTGTTTAAATTGGTTTCCACAGAGCCCACCGCATCCTGCTACAGTGTACTTTCTGACAGCAGGTTTAATTTGCTTGGAAATTGAAAGTACAATCCACGTCCTTTATGCGATCCAAAACATTGTGTATATTTAATGAGATAACATTTTATACTCTTACTGTGTAAACTGCACCCTTAAGGTTGACTGAAATATGATTTAAATGTAAATCTGTCCCCCTCAATTTTTATCTTTTAAAATAGCATTGACAGCTATTCAGCCCAGTACATTCCCTAGTAGAGAGGAGATAATTACATATAATTTTTGTGTGAAATTTCATAAGAAGTACCTCATTTTCTGAGCAGATACAGCAGCATATAAGAAACAACAGAAATTATTCCCTTTGTTCCAACAAAAGATAAAATCCTGATGTGAAATTTGATACAAAGACTTGAACAGTATTGGTTTTCATGTATCCTGATGTAAATTTTGAGTGCAAAACAATTGAAAAAAAAAACCAATCAATCCCAAAGTAATTTTGAGTGCACAAAGTGAGGCTTTGGCATGTGTTTGCTTAGCACTGGGTACAGTTTATGCTGAACTGTTGTTATTCAGAAAGTGGTCTTCATAGGAGCTTGGGTACCAGGTTTGTTTTCTTCCTGTGAAGCTTTTGTCTGATATTTAACCTTTCCAAAAGTCTCCCTTGGAGATTTGGGGAGACAAGCAATTACATTAAGGGAAACGAAATTTCCCCCAAATGTTACTTAGGATATCAGTAACAGTCTATACTTGGGACCTTAAGGTAGATTTGAATTCAGTGAGTGACTTTTGTTTACAGGCTGCCTGAGGAAGTGAATTTCATCCATTCTGAAACCAATAAATCAGCCCTGTCATGATTGAACCCCTGGAAATCTAACACCTGGAATTCAGAATCCTCTTTTTTTCCTGCTATGGTTCTACAGATTGGTCTTACTGGAGACAACACAAAATTTCTTCAGAAGTAGTGAACAATCTCCACAGTGTGAAACAAAACAGACATCTTACAGGTAGTCTTGAAAGCCCTTTGCTGCTTCAGATATGAATATTTGTGGTTTTGGCATTTCTCTTCCATTTAGATACTTCATATTATTTTAAAAAATTCCTTAGAAATAAATGACCATCCAAAAATAATCCTAATGGAAAAAATGTGAATCTTAACAGTAGTTTCAGTACTTCTGATCTTGTCAGCTTCTCTGAAAATTTTATTTTTGTAAAGTAAGCGACCAGAAGATATGTCTAGCTATAAAATAGTTTCTAATTAGTTTTGGGTGTGGAGGAGCATAAAATATCAATTACAGACTTCACTAATGATTGCACACTGTATATAAGTATGAGGAATACAGAAACAGATGCATTGATTATTTTGGAACAAGTTGAACTATTTAAGAGAAGAGACATGTATCAAAACACAGCAGTGGCATGGTCTTGTGATAAAATAAACAGAAATAGATAATGCTCTTCAAAGACTATTTTTAAAATGTCTTTCCTGTCAGTTGTAGGAGACAAACATAAAGAATATCATCTTTTTTCTCCTTCTGCTTGTGCCTTTTCAGCTCAATTCTTTCAATCTTGTAAAAGATGCTCAGTGTGCCTATAAGCCTTTCCAGAATATTTTGTCCTGAATATTGTGCCTCTAGGCTTCTTTTACCTACCTTTAGCAGCAATCAGCCAGGATTTCTGGGTGTCAGTATGTTTCTACTCTGTCTCAGTTTGATACAATCTGGAAGGGAAGAGACCTTGGACAGAAGTCTTCTCCACTGGATTCTATATCCCTGGTTTCTCCAAAACAGAGAGAGAGAGACCAAATATGCCTGGATGTAAGTGAAAAAATAACTCTTTACCAAGAAGAAATGCTAATAACAATTCTGGTAAAACTGGGTTAAACCAACTGACAAGGAGAAATTTCCCAAGCCCTGCCCACCAGACCAAATTAAGATGGCAGCCGGTCTCCCCCGCTTGGAAAAAACACACATGGACACAGGACAGAGACAAGATGGCTGCCCTTCCATGTGATTCACCTACCCCATGCCTGGAAAACCTGGTAAGAATTGTTGGAGAGTCAGTGCTGGTAGTAAATGGTAGTTAACTGGGATTTGATACTGGCAGATGTTTGTGTAGTGATGGAATGAGGCTGCGGTGCCAGTACAGGCAGTCGGAGCAGGGCTGCGGACTCCCTAGGTGACTGGAAGGACCTGCAAGACACCCATTGGATCCAGTGACAAGATTTGGTTGTTGCAATTTCAATGTTCGTTGGTCAAAGTGGTGATCACAGTCCAGATCCATCGACACGGTGGTGGAAGTCCCAGGTGGTGAGAGAAACCCCAAACTCAGAGTTATATACGCTCAGGTTCAGGTGGGAATGCCTCCAGGACCTTCCCTGGGATGGGTAGTTTTACAGTGGATGATGCAATACTGTGACTCATGGGATACCATTGAGCTGCAGCATCAATGTGGGTCATTCAGCCAAATGAGGCTGTGGGAGAGGAGTACATCCTTCCAGTACAGCTATGATACTATGACACATTATTCTTTTTTTTTCTGGAAGTACAAACAGTGTCTAAATTACAAGAGTAGTGACAAGGTTGATGAAGACCCAAGGGCTCCTTCCAATTTTGAGTTCAGATTCACAACTTCCAAATTACAAACCACTTTGTTTTTTGGTAGGATATTTGGACAAAATAATGAATGTTCCTTTCCCCATTCCACCTCTCCCACCCAAGTTTTTGAAAACGCATCCCTCCTCCAGGTTTAATTGGGTAGGATTCTGACCTAATCTAAAGAAAAATTTTCAGAGAAACTTAATCAAATATTAGCATTTGATCCTACCCTCTCATAACAGTTTGGCCAGAGCTCTAGTACTGTGACTACTCATCAGCAATTATCAAAACCCACAGGGCTATTTAAGTTGTTGGGTGTTTTAAGAAATGTATCTTGTAATTTATTTTTAATACCTCTTTAATACACAAACTTGTTCCTGTTTGATAAAAATGACTTAACTCTTCTCAAAAAGATTTTTAAATTTCCAAGTGTTACAGATGATTTGGACAGAAAACAAATGAGACCTCATGGGCCAGATTTTCCTTGTCTTTCTGAAAAATAACCAAACATCTTATTTTTCACTCTATTAAAAAATCCCTTAAAATATCTCACTGCATTATTTCTTAATGTATATGACAATTACATACAGAACAACATCTTCATTTTCCTACTGAAAGCAAGGATTACAGTACTACATTATATGATATCCAGATGTGTTTTGAATGTAAAAACATATTTTCCTGTTAAAAAGGCTGGGATTTATGGAGATAACTATCAATACAATTAATAGAATTACCTGCATAAATCCCTTTATTTAGACAGGACTCCACAATTTATAAAGATTTAATATAATTTTTTGACTCTGTATCTTATTTGTTATTTAAAGACCTTTTTAAAAAAAGTCTTTACTCATCTAGGAGAATTTAGTACATTTTGTTTGCCACATAAATCTTATCTATCTATTTACATAACTTTTGTAGCCTCCTCTCCTATTAATGCTATACCATCACAGGAACCATATTTGAGCAAAAAGTGGTATTAACAAGCTTGCTGTTGAGTGACTGCTAACACAGTAAATCTCACTCCAGTGAGAAAGCCCACATTTCATCTTGGGTACTGCTCAGGCCCCACTGCACGGCCAAAGTTCCTGGACGTCTGATTTTTTATCATAGCTGGAAACCATAAAAGGATTTTACCATAGCAGCTTAAAAAGGTACTACATAGATCAGGTCCTTTTGGTGTCATTGAAAGAGAGATGCACTGCTTTCTTCTGTCTGAGGTCATTGACTCACATCCTGCGGAAGCAAAAGGCAGGCAAGTAGGAGGTAGGCAGAGGGGAGGAGGGCATCCTGAGTCCTGTAATCTGGTTTTTTTGCACCTGCTCCTGCTACTTCTTTTAATCCAAGCAACAACTACAACAACAATTAAGGCTGCTGTCAATGCAACAGTAAGACACTAGGCACCTATCATCAGTAGAATGGATTTTCATCCCAGAATCATAGAATACCAAGTCAGAAGGGGACATCAGGGATCATCTGGTCCAACCTTTCTTGGTAGAAGCAAGGTCTAGGCAAGATGGCCCCACATCCTGTAGAGTTGAATTTTAAGAACGTCCAATGCTGGAGAATCTACCACTTCCCTGGGAAATTATTCCAATGGCTGATGGTTCTCATTGTGAAAAATTTTCCTCTTGTATCCAATCAGAATCTCCTCAGGGTAACTTGCACTCGTTACCTGCCATCTTTACCATCAAACACCTTGTAAAAGAGGAGTCTCCATCTTTATTTTAGCCACCTTTAAGTACGGGAACGTGGTGATCCTGAGCCTTCTGTTCTCAAGACTGAACAAACCCAGCTCTCAGCCTTTCCAAAGAACTTTCCCAGTCCTTTGATCATCTTTTTGGTCCTTCTCTGCACCCTCTCCAGGCTGTCCACATCTTTTTTGCATAGTGGAGACCAAAACTGAACACAGTATTCCAGCTGTAGCCTGACAAGTGATGAGTAGAATGGCATAGTGATTTTATTTCTGCTGGTGATGCCCTTGTATCAACAACCCAGCATCTTGTTGGCTCTCTTTGTTACAGAAGCACACTGTTCTCTCATATTGAGCTTTTAGTGCACAAGGATGCCCACTTGCCTTTCCACAGAGATATTCCCCAGCTAGGTAGGTCCCGGGCTGTGCTACACTCATGGGTTATGTTTTCCTGGTTGCAAGACATTGTTGAACTTCTTAAGGTTCTTCTTAACCCACTCTTCCAACCTGTCTAGGTTTTCTTGCAGGATGGCTCTCCCTTCAAAAGTCTTCAATTTCCCACTCAGTTTGGTGTCATTGGCAAACTTTGTCAGAGTACACTTGATTTTTTAAGTTAGCAAACAATGTTGAGCCCAATTTCAATCCCTGGGGATCCCCACTAGTGCCAGGTTGCCAGTTTGAAACTGAGTTATTTACCAACAACCTCTGGTGAGCTGGTCAGCCTGTTTCCCATCCACCACACAGACCACTTGCCTAGAACACAACACACCCATTTCTCCAAGAGGTATCTGCTGAAAACTGTATTGGAAGCCTGGGGGAAATACAGGCAGACAATGTCCACTGCTTGCACTCCATCAACCCAGTACATTACTTTGCTATAGAAGGTGATCAGGTTTGTCAAGCCTGATTTGCCCTTGGCAAACCACACTCCTACTTAAATGACAGCTATTTCAAATTGCTGATTGTATCACTGTGTTTTTCCCTGTAGATAGACCAATACAGGTGACAGGGGGATTAAATAAATTACCTGTCTTGTGGACAGTAGGTGTAAAAACCATATACCTTTTTTTTCCCCTGGGAAATCTATAAATCCAGAAAGTACTGCAGTTTTTATTAATTCAAAAATTTAAAATACAAAAATCTGCCAAGTGCCAGTATGAGCCACAAATGAAATATTTCCACCTTTTTATATTAAACACAAACTTGGTCTAACAGCAGCGAGTCATTCCCTTCTTTTTATTTTTATTTTATCTATTCCTCTTGCTTTGTTCTTTCCTATAGTCAGGTCTCTTCACACAACGTCTCAGCAATATAAGAGGTTTTTCATGGGTCTTGAATCAAGCCCAGAGACGCGAGTGTAGGAATTTTCATGTGGACAGTCTGCAAATGGTGTTTTACCTTGACTATTTTCCCAAATAAAAAATTTTATGATAGTGCCTAAAGCCTAGGCTTTGGTTTTGACGTATATCATGCAATGTCATGTCCACTGGACAGGGTTTTAATAGCTGGACAGGACATGACTGAATAAAACTCCAAGAAAACCTACTCAGTTTCCAGAGTGTACTAATGTAATTGTGCTTCTTGCTTTGGGAGATTTGGGGAGATTTAATAAAGTCACCTCTTTCTCTGCACTATTATCAAAACACAGCTGTTCCCATATTTGATCTTCTTTTGGCACCCCCCTGAAAAGTATAAAATTGACACAAGATACCACTCCCATCATTCAATACTCAACTTCACAGAAAATGGCTTCTCAGCCTTAGTGAACAAAACATCTGCCTGATATGGTCAAATTCTGTCATTGGCATAGGTACTCACAAAGGAAAGCATAGCATCTGCTCCCACTCCACTGCACAACACTCAAACCTATAAAGAGCTGTAAAATGCAGAGCTGGGAGTAAACACAGCATCAGAAGGTAAGGAACACGTAATTAATTAACATCTCTTTTATGTCTCTGACAGTACCTGGTACAACAATGATGTGATTTTTATTTGGTTTTAGTATTGTAGGGTTTTCCCATTTTGTATTTTCTTTTACTGGAGCCATGGCTCTGGTGATTTTAAACTATCTACATATACTTGCAGAAAGCAAAAAAAACCATGTTCTATACAACCTAATCTTGTTCAGACTCTGGTCCTACTAGAAAAGAAAAAGTTGCTTCCTCATTACTGTTGACCTCCTACTTTTCCCTAGAGACCAGGGAAAACCCCTCCACACAGCTGCTATTTTGCTTTTGTCCACACACCTGTAACCAGAAGGGACATGAAGCGGCTGGGATGAGAAAAACTTTTATTTCTGCCCTCTCTTCCTCATGTCTTTGTGCACCAGGCTGCTCTGCAGGAGGAGTCATGCTGCTTTGAGAAGGGCCAAAGCTCAGCTCTTCCTTTCTCAGAGGCTGTGGTAATACAGGAAGAGTATCCAAACTGACAGGGCAGTACTACACCCTGCGATAAGATAGTCTGTAGGGCTCCTGGGGCAATGCCAAGAGAGGGGCAGCTGGTTGAAGGACCTGGATGTCAGCAGAGGACTGGCCCAGGACATGCCCTGCTCAGTGGAGAAGAGAGGGAGCTCAACCTGTTGTGACTTAGGGACTGACATCAGTGTGGGTCTTTGGTGACCTGGGCCCAGTGCAATTTTGTGTAAATACAACATGAAGCCAACACAGATGTTGCTGACAACAAACAAGGAAACTGCGTAGGAGAGGCTGAAGTTTCAAAACAAGACTGCCCTAACCCAAGCCTGAAAATTTGCTGTAGCCACAAGATGTGGTTAAGGTAATTTGTGTCCTGTATCAATCACATCCAAGTGATGTGACCACACTGAGACACTGGAATATGTTGCCCAGAGAAGCTGTGGATGCCCCATCCCTTGAAGTGTTCAAGGCCAGGCTGGATGGGGCTTTGAGCAACTTGGTCTAGTGAAAGGTTTCCCCATCCATGGCAGGGGATTTGGAACAAAACGATCTTTAGAGTTCCTTCCAAACTAAACCATTGCATGATTCTGTGATTCTATGATCTATTATGAGTGGGAATGGCCTGACCAGAACAGGTAAAGGAGTGCATGCTTTATGCCACCAGCCCAGCCCCCTCCACACTGCTCCACCAGGAATGCAGCAACATTCTGCTGTTCATCAGAAAGGACAGGGCATCCAGCCCACTCCTTTCCTAGACTTATTCCCTTTGAAAGAGCTGGAAAAGAAGCATTTTCCTTCACTTGCTTAAGGACCAATTAAAATAGTTATAGAATGACAATATCTTATTTAGTACACATAAAGCTTGAGTATATTAGTCTACATATCATAGTAAATCATTACCTTTCCTTCTATCTTAGACTGTAAAATCTATATTATAGTTGTAAAAAGGTACTACAAACTATACAGAGAAAAAAGAAGAGAGTATTTGTCCTAAGGAATTTAAAAGGAAGTGCAATCAAAATAAAGGAATATTTCATCTTTTTTTGTTTGTTTGTTTTTTACTGAATGCAAAAATCCCTGATACACAATTTCTGCCCAAGATTTTTATTTGTTTTTTAGATTAAGCTGTCAAAACTTGTGGAATCATAAAAACCCCAAACCTGTACTTCTGTAACTATTCACATATAACTTTTTATCCTGGTTGAAATTCACATTGTAAAGTCACAGACACTGCACACACACTCAAGCATGCAGAAAAGATTTTTAATTTTTTGAATTTTCCTTTCTTTGTTTCTATCATATACACTGTGATGAATTTATTTCTATTCTATGCATTTAAAATTTCTACCCTTTTGTATTACTTCTGAAAAAGAATGCATCTGAGTCATTCTGGAAATTAAAAAAAAAAAAAGAGGGGGAAGAAAACACAGGAGTGGCAGCTGTATTGCTCTGTGAGTCAGACTGAGGCATTGGACTGGCATTTGTTTGCTGCTCCTCCTTCACCCTACAGAGGTCCAACAGTGGGAGCCAAACACATGGTGCAATGCTGCTAATTAGTGAAACTCCCACAGTCACATTTAGCAGTCAGAGAAGGTTAGGAGAGGTGTGTGGCATCCCTGAGAGCGCAGTAAGAGGCATTTTAGCATGACCGATCTCAGAGTAGCTACTCTGAGCAGGGCTTGGAGTAAGGATGTACCTGACGTCCACAGACTGGAGTGGCACAGAGAAAATAACGTTTTCCTGACATTTCTCAAAGGTCATATGGTGCTTTTTTAGCTGAAAACAACATTAAAGAAAGAAGTAATGATCAAAAAGAGAAAAGGGGCTGGGAGAAGCCTGCTTTGCACAGTTTGTCCTTATCCCTTACAGAAAAGTGCCATATCAACTGTCTATCGGGCTACTTTATAAATACAAGAAGTAGGACTGATCTGGCTGCTAGTTCTAATCACAGTAAAATACAGAAAACATAACAAATGACATGGGTGTAGTGCTTGTTTATAGACTGAGTTCTGCTACTATAAATAAATATTGCAGAACTGTAACCCATGATTTCGATTGGCAAGATCTACTTTTCAGTGAAATTTAAAGATATTTGCACAGTATTCCCAAGGCAGCCATCTCATCAGACAAAGGTGACTTGGTTTAACTCTTCTGGTACTGTATTTTGTTTATAAAACTAAATTTATCCAATACACTTTTGGATGCGTCTTTATTTAGTGTCTTGTACAGCATTCGACACGTTTGCTCTTGGCATACAGAATCTCACTGTTGGTGGTGTCTGTAGTACTAAGTCATTAGAAAAGAGTATTCACATTGTTTTAAATTTTCTCAGAGTATTTTCTCCTTTACTGCAGTACAAGGAGGCAAGAAGAATTAGGAAAGAATACATCATATTACCTGGATTTTTGTTCCAGACATGCACTGGGGGCACTCGCACCAAGATCCGAAAGATCCGTGCAGATTTCCAAGATTTGGTAAAAGTATATTAATAATTGGGGAAAAAACCCAAAATCAGTTTTCTTTTTTATACTTGTCAGTTCCTAAACAGAAGATAGAACTTTCATATCTCGCAGCAACACAACAAAGATAAAGTGTGTTTGTTAGGATGCAGTGTTCCAGAGAGAAGGCTGCAGGTAGATAGCAAGAATCAGTTCCTGAACTCTCCTTCTCTGCAGGGAGTATCAGGAAATGTATGAATAAGCACAGGAAGAGAAGATACATTAATTTAGTGCTGATGTAGAGTACCTGAAAATCTTATTTCTAAAAGAAGCAAAATTTTCCAGAAGGCAGATGATATTTTCTGGAAGGTCCATTTTGTGGGTTTTTGGGGTTTTTTTAAAGATAAGAGTATTAGTCAGGGTGAGATGGGAATGTAGCAATTTGAGACATCTAGTCATTAGCATGTGCCATTTATATTGCCAAACCCTAAAATTCAGATTTTCATGAAAATGGCTTCAGATTCACCTGTTTCTCACTTTTTGATCTGTGTACAAACATGATGTTTAGATACCTAAGCTGAACACCTCAAAACCCTATTTAAGAACAGGATGTCATATACTTTTCTGCAGTGGGACATCATACACTTTTCTGCAGTACAGAACAACATTTCTCAAAGCATTCCTACGTTTTCCTATTATGGTGCTTTGGTCGTTGCTTACGTTTTTTACAACACGGAAAAGAAGATGATTTCTTTCTTTAGTCCCTTATGGATGTTTTTTACCACCACACACAGACTTGTTTTATGGAAACTATCAGAGATAAGAGGAAGGAGAAAATATTTAGCAAAAGTTGCTTTAAACATCTGATGCAAGGCCAGGGACTGGATCAGTACAGGGAATTAATTATTTCCCCGGTCTCTGGAATTTGTACTTTGATAAAAAACAGAAGAGGAAATTTGTAGTTTGGAGAGTAGATGCTACCCATGTTATTCTGTAGATTAGAAACATGGAACATTTTTCTGAGTCCTACACTCACTTTAATTCAAAAAAAATCATATAGTAAACAAACCTAAAAGAAATTTCAATGTGGCATTGATTTTACTGAAAGGGCCAAACATTCAATTATTTTCAAGCAAAATATTGTGTAACAAGGTCTTACCTTTTAAATGCAAAAATGTAGACTAATTTAGTGTTAAATTTCTGAAGCTAAAGATTTAAAAATCAATCAATCAATCCCTAAGGTGATTATTACATCAGCCATATTGCATATTTTGCAACACACATCAGTGCCACAGATGAATACATTAGGATTTAAGGTAATAAGGGGAGAAAAATAGCAAATCCTGCATTTACGCAATGAAAACAGTCTAAAGAAAGAGGAAATCTTTTGTGGTGTATATATACTGTGGTGTTTTTTTGAACATGGTGTCATGAGCAGTCTTTGTCACTTATCCACTGCAGCAGTTTGCTCTTGCTCTGTATGAATGCTGTCATCAGGCCCCCTGATAGTGTAGCTGCCCTGAATCAACCTTGGATGATCACTGGGACCGTGCAGTGGTGTGGTTTACTTATGCCTCAAGTTCATCTTTGTTACTTCAAAGGTTATCTGCAAACGTCTATTGAAGACATTAAGGAATTTAGTACTTCATAAAATTTCTCCAGGCACTGGTTCATGACAATTCTTTAAATAGAGGAAAAAAAACTAAAACAGGTGTGCCACTGAACCTGCCTATCAGGTCACGGGGTTCTCAGAGAAAATAAATGCATCCTTATTCGGAAATAAGAAGAAAATTTTTCCCATGTTACCCAAAAGTAATTAACATAACATCAGCAACAACCCATAAAGTGGGAGAACATATATTAAAGGCATATTGAGGAATATTTGTTGCTGGATGCAGAATAATTCCTCTTTTCTCCACAGTTTTCCTACTAGAGATTCAAGAACTGGAGGTATACACACATCTGGCTAGACATGAGCAAGCTGAAAAGGGGAACTAAAAGTCTAATGTACCTTTCAAAGCGAAAGGTTTGTCTTATTCACTCAAGAAGGTCAAGAACATGCTGGCTCTTACTAAACTCTTCTACTCCCAGATGTGGAAGGAGTGGGAGGACAGGAGGTAGAAAACATATCCAGATCACATTTAGAGATCATGCTCTGCAGCTGGTGGGACTTGTAATATCAGGGGTCAGCTGCACCCACTGTGAGGGAATATAAATAAAAGGGTCTCCTCTCAGCACATTGCAGCATTTGTGGTCCATCTACTCCACTTACTGAAAGGACTGGTCAATGCTGGACATGCTGTCAGCGCTGTACTCCTGTGCTTAACACAGGATGAAAGGCTCGAGCCATGCAGGCTGACAACAGGACAGACACTGCGCTTCCCTGTACCTCAGTTTTGACCTCAACTCCTTTCTGTACCACTGATGCACCATTTTACTTTCAAAGCTGAATTATCATAAGCTTTGGAATCAGTTAACCTATTATTTTTAACCCTTTTTCTCCTAAGCCTTGCGGTCATTTATTGATTAGTTCTCTGCCCTGGTATTTCCCTGTAAGGCAGTTGATATGCTTCAACTCATCTTGTCATACAATGAGAATCTGACACAGACCTGGGCAGCAATGATTTGTATTGATCTGACTTCCAAACTTTTACAGAGTAGATATTGAATTTTTAGACAGTTTTGCATTAAGAATAGCCTCATGAAAATAACAGCATAAGGATTACTTTGTCCTTAAAGCTTTCTTCCTAACATCTCTCTCCTTTGTACCACAGCAGCAGTCCCCATAATTCCTCCACTTTCTATAAACCCGTCCTCATCCCTCTGCCTCTATCCACTTACTTTCAGTTCTTCCAACTGTTTGCATATGATTGTCTGTGAGCTGGCATTTACCAAGTACCAAATAAGACAAACTCACATACACAGGCAGTCAGATGCTTTTGATTATTGTTATTTACAAGGGAGACAGGAACCGTGCATATCACAGTTTGGAAATCTATTTCTGTGTACTGAATTTTGTGTATTTCTCCATCACAATTCCTTTCTATTTTGTTTAAGGATGAGCAGCTATATTTTCAGACCTTTTCATTCCTTAATCAACACAAAGTGCAAGGTCTGCTTGGGAGTGGCAAGTTTCCCCATAGGGATTCTATGGCTACCTCCAAGTATTTTTATTGTTCTAGACGCAAAGACTTGTATCTCTGCAGTCGCGTGCTTTGTGACAATTTTTCTCTGCACCAATTACTTTTCCTCTGTGAGATTTATACTTCTTTTTTCCTTTTTAACACACAAATTCTTCACAAAAGATTGTTAGGTCTTCCAGAGGAAACAAAGCAAAGTAATACAAAGCAAATCAACAAACTATAGAGCAATTGCAACACAGAAGCTGGCTTTCAACATGGAGTTCAGCTGTCACTTCTTTATTTCAAAATGCACATGATGCATAAACCGCAATAGGAAGCAGTATGTTTGCTATACCTGAACACAAAGATCAGTTGGAGAAAGAAGAAAACAGATTTTTTTTTCTTAATAAGAAAACTAATAGTTGTGTTGAAAGAGAAGAGAAAGAAGTGACTTGCTTGTACACATAGGGGCGCATAGCTTTTATGTTGGGTTTTGGTAATGTAAGATAGATTCTTAATTTAAAAGAGAAGACTTAGACAAAGAGCACTCCAAAAGAAACTAATTTATCATGATCTCTAATCAATAAATGAAATTCATAGGATTAGAAAAGGTGTCTTTGTGTTTGCAAATTACCAATATGCCATGACATGTATACATTTTTTTTCTACGCATCATGTGAAATAATGGTTACTTGCAAACAGGATAGTTCCTAATTTATTTTTCTAATAATCTAGTCACTGAGTAGCTGTAATACTTATTGATTGTGATTCTTCCCGATCAATAACAGAGTGTCAAAACAATCCTTTAGTTGTTCCATAAAATGAAACTAAAAATTATAAAGAAGTATTGGCTGTATGGAAACAGCACCAAAGGCTTCTTAATTATGCGTTCATTACGTAATGTTACCAACAAAGACTGGGTTGTAGTCCAACCAATTCTAGTCATCCAAAGGACAGATTTCAGTCTATCATCTAATCCAGTCTATCATTCTTATCCAGATGGCCTACAGAGGGTAAGATGCAATGAATAGCCTTCTGAAGATCACAGAATCAGAGAATTATCAAGGTTGGAAGAGACCTTCTGAAGATTATCTAGTCCAATCATCAACCCAGTACCACCATACTCACCTCTAAACCATATCCCCAAGTGCCACATCCAGAAGCTGTTTGAGCAGTACCTAAAATTTTCATTTTCTTAAGACTCAGAATAATTGCATACTTTTATACTCTGTGGTTTTATGAGCAACAGCAAATAAAGCAAACTCAAATGTTTTCTATCACCTCTACAGGTGTTACTGCAAGCTAACAAAAGAAATACC